TGAAGATATGTTAGAGGATCCATGCATACATATGAGTCATGTTTGCGAAAAAACTAAAAATGACGAGGATGATGAGACAGAAGAATTGCGAAAATGGGCCCTTGAATGTAATGTACAGCATTCAACTTTGGATAAGTTATTGTTAATTTTAAGGAAGAGGTTACTTCCTAATCTTCCGAAAAGCTCCAAAACTTTTTTAAATACAAAAAATAATTATAAAATAAGTAAAATATTGAACGAAAAGCAAGAACCAGTAGGTGAATTCGTTTACTTTGGGATAGAAGAAGGTTTAAGGCTATGCGTTAATACTAATCTCCATCCAAATAGAGAAATAAAATTACAATTTAATGTTGACGGTTTACCGTTATTTAATTCAAGCAAGAAACAATTTTGGCCTATTTTATGCAAAGTTTTTTCAAAAATAGACGTTTATAAACCTTTTGCTGTTGCAATTTTTTGTGGTAATTCTAAACCTACAAATGTAAATAGTTTTTTAACAGAGTTTGTTGCTGATATAAATAAAATTATGAATAATGATTTTATAATAGATAATGAACCATTTTCTATAACATTACATAGTTTTATATGTGATACGCCTGCGCGATCCTTTCTGAAAATGACTAAAGGACATGGGGGTTTCAGTGCATGCGAAAGATGCACGGTTTATGGTTCACGATGCGAGAACAGAACAGTTTACTGTTCTTCAAATGCATTATTTCGGACAGACGAATCATTTAGAAATTACGATGATGTTGAGCATCACATTGGACATACTCCTTTAGTGAATATAGAACCAAAAATTAATTTAATATCGCATTTTGTTCTGGATTCCATGCATCTATGCAGTGGAGTGACTAAAAAAATAATTGAATATTGGATTCTGTGTTCTGGTAAAGCGCGAATAAGTAGAGTTAAGAGATTAGAATTATCACGAAGAATGTTAAGTTTAAGAAACGCTATACCTTATGAATTTCAAAGAAAACCAAGAAGTACGGATGATGTTAAAATGTGGAAAGCAACTGAATTTCGTTTTTTCCTCTTATACTGCGGACCGATTGTATTAAAAAATGTATTAGATAAAA